CGCCGGGTTCGCTCCGGGCTGCGCTCAGAGCTGCAAAGAGGCAGGCGCCAGGGAGCACCACTGGCTACGAGCGCGCGCCTTGGCACGCCAAGTGTCAATGCTCCCGCTGCTCCGTGCACCTCGCGTCCTTATCGCACGCTCGCTGCCTGAAAGGGATCCAAATCCCTCTTTGCAGGTGCAAAGACAGGCTCAGCGGGATTAAGTCACATGTCCAAAGTCGCACTGCCAGAAAGTTGGCGCTGACCGAAATCCGCGCGGATCTGCCTTGTCGCCAAAGTTCTCCGGACACCTGCCAGGCACCGGCTGGCAGTGCGGACCCACCTTTTCCCTGCTCATCCGGGCGGGTGCGCAGACCGCACCCACCGGGTTAGGTGCGGAGTTGCAGGATGCGACGCGAGGCGCGGGAAGAGCCGGCGCAGAGGGGCGCGCAGGGGCAGAGAGCTACAGGCCAGAGAACACGCGTGTCGCCGACCTGTGCGTTTGAGCAGGAGACTCAAACAAGATGGGCCACTAAGGCAGGTACCAAAGACCCGCGTCCTGGCGTGTGCGCAGTGGCACCGCGTGCGGGTCTCTGCAGCTCTAAGCCGGCGCTCAGCCTGGGTCAGCGGCGGAGTTCAGGGTCGGACCTGTGGCTGCTTTCGTCTGCGCTGACCAGGGCGCGCCGGACCCGCCGCACTCGTGCAAAGATCAGCAGCAAGGAGGCGTCTGCTCCAGCGTCCTGCGCACCTGCACCGGGAGAGGAGCTCTCCCAACCCCAAGCCCAGTCTAGCCTCTGTGAGCCGTGACAGGTGGTCACCTTCGCATTTTGGGCGGTAGCGCGAGGTCCCGGTGGCTGCTGGGACCGGGCCACATAGCCTTGCCGCTCCCCTCGGGCTGAGCACCTAACTCTCTCGGTTTCTGCGTATTTACGCCCTCGCTCCTGTATGAGCTGCAGAGACGGAGAGTCCAGGCCCCCAAGAACTGAGCCCACTGGGACGCTGGTATCTCTGACGCCGCTGCGGCTGAGTGGGACGCGGGCTGGAGGGGAGAACGAAAGTTAGGATAGGAAAGAACGAAAGGGCACAGTGACCTTCCAGGCCTGAAGATGACCCCGCGGAAAGTGGATGACTTGTGAGCTTTTTCTGGGAGCGGGAGATGAGTTGCTGCTAGAGGAGGAAGGGCGGCTGGAGCCTAGAGGGGCCCAGAACCGGGGCCCCCGCGGTGGTTCTGGTCCCAGGGCTGGGAAAGCAGCACCACCGTCGTCTGCAATGTCAGTCCCTCTCTCAGGTACCCTGGCTCACCCTGAGTAGGACCAATACCCCCCCCCCCCACACCCTGCAGGCCAGGGATAACACACA